TTTTCTGAAGGTAATGTAACAAAAAGTACGAAATTTGATGGAAAATTGACGAAATTATGCTCTCGTGAATTTTGATGTGTCAGCGATATTTACGCATCGGTGATTTTGTGGACTTTGACTCCCATTTTAGGCCAATTACATTATTCCAGGCAACCAAATTCTTAGCTATTTCACTAGTATTACTTCTACTCTATCGATTAAGCACAAGAATTCACCAAGTCAACTGTTTCAACTACAAAATAAAGTGATCGGAAATTGGTAATCTGGCCAATTTAATGCAAAGTTCAAAATACTCCAATTTCAAAATAGGGTCCAGAATAAACAATGCAGGCATTCCTGGCACTAAACTAACATTTCCTCTGTTCATTAGTTACGTTTTCAGGCTTTACTAATGAATTCTATTTTGATTTTTTATTCACATAATGAATTTTTATTCAAACCAAAGAATAGAAGATTTACTGTTATGCAATATTCTAATAATTGTATAAATACTATCAGCACATTTGTGAACGTATATTAGACTCACCAGCAGGCATGTATTAGACGTGTGAGGTCGTTTGTTTACTCTTGAACATTGGCAAAAATTTAACATTTCCTCTACTTTGAGCTCGGTTTCAAGCCATTTCCAGTACTAAAACCAATCAAAATCATCTCTATTTCTGTAATATGTCTTCCATTCTATCAAATGAGACCAAAAATCGCAAGTACAATTATAAAAAACATACAAAAAAACACTGCAAAGTCGCTGTTTTAACCCTTTGACTGTCGAAGGGCCCAATCCTGAAGTGTCTCCTAGTGTCGCAAAATATTCGAAAAAAAAAAATAATTTTTTCTTATGAAAATGTTAAGATTATTTTTCTGATTGTTTTAGTTCCAAAAAAAATTTTTTTTCCCATCAGTACTTACCGAGATATAGAGGCATGAAGTTTGCAGAAAATGAGCCGCGTATGGCAACAGCGGTGACTGCCGCTCACCCGTAAACTTTAGTTTACTTGTATTTGAAGGTTTGTTGTTTTTTTCACTATTTTATTTTTTCACATAACTTATGTGGCCTGTGAGACCAAAGTAAGGTGCAATGTACATATATACACTCGTTGTATACAACACAATAAGCACACAAACATAATTATCAATATATTGTTTACAAAACTTGTTTACAAAAACAAACAATACAAAAAATTGTTTATTACTATTGTTCTATAATATATATACCAATATACAGTCACTGAAACATACCTCCTAGAAGTGTCTCAGCTTGTGGAACTCTATGAAACATGGTGTCATACACAGTGGTGTTTTACACTCCTCACACATAAAATTGGTGTCATACACAGTGGTGTTTTGCACTCCTCACACATAAAATATGGTGTCATACACAGTGGTGTTTTACACTCCTCACACAAAACATGGTGTCATACACAGTGGTGTTTTACACTCCTCACACATAAAATATGGTGTCATACACAGTGGTGTTTTACACTCCTCACACATAAAAACATGGTGTCATACACACGGTGTTTTACACTCCTCACACATAAAACATGGTGTCATACACAGTGGTGTTTTACACTCTCACACATAAAATCAGTGTGTGCGCATTTTTGTTGAAGTTTTTTTTTATGTACAAAGACCAAACACCTCGTCTGAGCAGTTTTTCTTCAAGTATTAGCAGGCAGTTTGTGTTATGTAGTTATCCTAGGTAAATGGTCGTGTGTCATCATTCCTTCCTTCCTAATTTCCTTCATTCCTTTCCTACCTGGAGGCTACCTGGAGGGCATTCCACCTCTCTTCCTACATTCTTCATCTGTCCTTCCTTACTTTTTTCCTTCCTTTCATCTAGTCCTTCCTTCATTCCTGCCTTCCCTTCTTGCTTCTGGTTTCTATAATATATATACACATATATAGTCACTAGATACTTTCATAAAGCTGCTATTATCACCATTCAGCAAGCTTGTCTTGGGTGTGAGTGTGTGGCTTATAATTGTTTTGAGTCAGGAGTCGGCAGCTGTCAAAATGACATATTGTCTCATTACTCACTCCCCCTCCCGCCTGTCAAAACAATGGGGTCGGATGCTGCTTCCCCTCCATTCTATCTAATTATCTTTCTCCCTCATTCTATCTCTTTCAATCTGTCTCTCTCTTTCTCTCTGTCTGTCTATCTCTGTCTCACAGGTACACATAAATACAAGTATACATAGTGTAAATTACCTAGGATAACCCAAAAAATCCAGACAAAGTGCTATACTCTGCTTGAAGATGTGAGTAAACGTGATGATGACACAGTCCTGTGGCTCTCTCTGAGACAGAGCTAGACAGATAGACAGGGAGCTTGGCAGACAGACAAATAGACAGACAGACAAATGTTTGTTCGTCGTCGTCTTCTCCTCCTCCTCCTCCTCTTTCCTTCTCCTCTTCCTCCTCCTTCTCCTTCTCCTCCTCCCTCTTCTCCTTCTCCTCCTCCCTCTTCTCCTTCTCCTCTTCTTTCTTCTCCTCTCCTCCTCCTCCTCCTCCTCCTCCTCCTCCTCCTCCTCCTCCTCCTCTCTTCTCCTCCTCCTCTCGTTCTCCTCCTCCTTCTCCTCCTCCTCCTTCTCCTCCTCCTCCTTCTCCTCCTCTTCCTTCTCCTTCTCCTCCTCCCTTCTCCTCCTCCCTCTTCTCCTTCCCCTCCTCCCTCTTCTCCTTCTCCTCCTCCTTCTTCTCCTTCTCCTCCTCCTTCCTCTCCTTCTCCTCCTCCTCCTCCTCCTCCTCCTCCTCCTCCTCCTCCTCCTCCTCCTCCTCCTCCTCCTCCTCCTCCTCCTCCTCCTCCTCCTCCTCCTCCTCCTCCTCCTCCTCCTCCTCCTCCTCCTCCTCCTCCTCCTCCTCCTCCTCCTCCTCCTCCTCCTCCTCTCCTCCTCCTCCTCCTACTCCTTCTCCCTCCTCCTTCTCCTCCTCCCTCCTCCTCCTCCTCCTTCTCTCCTTCTCCTTCTCCTTCTCCTTCTCCTTCTCCTTCTCCTTCTTCTCCTCCTCCTCCTCCTCCTCCTCCTCCTCCTCCTCCTCCTCCTCCTCCTCCTCCTCCTCCTCCTGGCTCTTGACATATGGACAGCTGCCCCCCTCCCTCCACCCTCGTTTACGCTCATCAAAGGTCAGCTCTTATCAGATGTTATCTCCCCTTATCTTGTCACTGTCATGGGGTGAACTGTTTTCATGCCTCAAGGGAACATATTATTATATATTATTATTATTAGGTATTATTATTATTATTATTATTATTATTCCTCTTCTTCCTATTCTTCTCCTCTTCTTCTTCCTCCTACCCCCTCCTTCCTCCTCCTCACTCCTTCCCTCCTCCTCCCTCCTCCTCCTCCTCCCCTCCCCTCCTCCTCCTTCCTCCTTCCTCCTCCTCCCTCCTTCCTCCTCCTCCTCCTTCCTCCTCCTCCCTCCTTCTCCCTCCTCCTCCTCCTTCCTCCTTCCTCCTTCCTTCCTCTTCCTCCTTCCTTCCTCTTCCTCCTTCCTTCCTCTTCCTCCTTCCTTCCTCTTCCTCCTTCCTTCCTCTTCCTCCTTCCTTCCTCTTCCTCCTTCCTTCCTCCTCTTCTTCCTCCTCCTCTTCTTCCTCTTCTTCCTCCTCCTCTTCCTCCTCCTCCTCCTCCATTGCTTTTGGTCTCAAACTCCTCGAAATCATGAAATTGATCTTCAATGACACTTCCATCTGTGTTAGAGCATCACTTGGGAAGAGAAGAGTCCCAGATTTGCTGGGGAGTCACATATTTCTTACTGCTAGACATGCTGAAAAAGGACGACTGAAATGGTATTCCCACAATGCACCACTGGCTCCCCGATTTTTTTTATATGGTGCACACTGACCATGGAGACCCATTCTCTCACATGTGGGCCTACCAGCTTTCTCCTGCTTGATTTGAAGCCGCTAGAATTTATGCATATAGATACGTCAAACACAGTACCTATGACATATATATACGACCCCGACAGTCAAAGGGTTAATCGAAAATTATGGTCTCGGTTTTTTCTCTCATTATGTACTGTGTGCTGCAGGATTTGTTTTGTGGTGCACACATATCACATAGATGTATTCTCCCATATCAAGGCCAAAATTTACCGCTCACAGCTTATCAGAGTGAGCTGAGCTCATGACGAAGATCTACGGTTTGGCCCTTGGGCCCTCAACGTAAAGCCGTAGATCTACGGCACGGACCCTCAAGGGGTTAAACCAAAAACACGGTCGGAGTTTTTTTTTTCCTCATGCACTGCATGCTGCAGGATTTTTTTTATGCTGTGCACACTGACCATGCAGACCCATTGCCTCACAAGTAGGTCTACCAGCTTTCTCCAGCTAGATTTGAAGCTGCTAGAATTTTGGTGTATTAATACATCACCAACACTGGCTTGTAAGCCATACCTATACGTTACCTATACTGCTAGATGATATAGATGATTTAATATTTAAAGAGTATACTAATCAAATGTATCTGAGGCCAGGAAAATAGTAGGGTGGTTGATGACAACCTGTAGAGATTGCATCTCCCCTATCCTAAATGTATTCCTAGATAATCTTGCTTTTTTTTTTGGGGGGGGGGGGAGGGTTAAGGTTAGTTTCAAGCATGTGACTTTCCTTGTCTTACCAATGTTAGGTTTGTAGTTGGAGAATATACATCACAAGGAATTTAAGTACATAACTTGTGCTGGTCCTGGGAATCATAGCCTCTGCAGCCCAGTCTCGGACCATGTTTTCCTTGGTCTCCCTCTTATTTAGGTTTTGTATTCAAAGTATATTGATTTGGCTTGCATTATGTTGAGCTTTGTAGTGGCTTAAACAAATGTTTTTGTCAACTGTCAGCAAAGATCTCAAATGGAGTTAATTGTTATGAACGAAAAGTAAATTTATTACCTTCCCCAATTCTTTATTAATTATTGTAAAACCTTGCCTATAATATTTTACTAATGCAGTTTCTACTATACATAACCTGTTAATATATTAACTACTTTTTAACTAATATGTATCTTTACAGAGATCCCAGGATGAAGAGGATCTTGAAGCCACTACCCAAAATTTCACTACAAGTCTGAAATGCCTGAAAAATGTTGACCACTACAACAGCAAAAGCAGTGAACAGCTACAAGAACAGGTAGCTGCTGCCAATCTTTGTGCTAATGTTACTCAGTCAAATACATTTATTGCTTTTTTTTCAGCACTAATTGTTTTCCACGAAGGTAGGGTGACTCAAATAAAGGAAATGCATTTATCATCATTCATTCGATTGCTGCCTTGCCAGATATCACAGTTCAGAACATTCTTTGAGCTGCAACATCCTCACTCTTCTTCCCAGCCCTCCTTCCCACCTCTAGGAATCAAATCTGGTTAACTGGTTTCCCTGAATCCCTTCATAAGTGCTATTGGTCTAGTATTTTACACAAATTGTTAGTGTTATAGTTATTGGTAGGAATTGCCTAAGATGGTTTTATTGGTATCTGACACTTACTTAACTTGGTGATATCCATCATTGCAAGTGTCTTTCGTAGTTATTATGTAAAAAGCTGACAGATCCCATGAAAAGAAAAACATGGCCCAAAAATCACTTGTCACATTTTTTCAAATTTTTTAACCACTAGTGCCCCAAATGTATATATATGTTTTATTTTTCCTGCCTCCAAATTGGGCACGATTGGCTCGAGATACCTGGTCAGCATAGAATGTATCTTAACACTCGGTGTGCACCATATTAAAAAAATCTGGGACCACTTAGTACCTTGTGGGAGTGCCACTTAAATTGAGCGCCAGCTAGAGCAAACAGTGCGGCAAACACCAATGATTCACTGATGTAATGTCATATTAACACTCCCCTTTTAAGAGGAAAGTGATGTTAACCCCCAAGTTTAGGGTCTGTCTGTCTATGTTTGTCTGTCTGTATCTATCTTTCTTTTTATCTGTCTCACAGGTACACACAAATACAATAATACATAGTGTAAATTACCTAGGATAACCTAAAAAATCCGAAGTGCTGTACTGTGCTTGTAGATATAATGCATGAGAATACCTGTTGGTTCACAGTGGCTCTCTGAGACAGAGAGAGACAAGCAGAGAGACAGAAAGAGATAATCAGAGACAGAGATACCAGGTCATCAAATGTCACCCCTTATCTCTGCACCCTCGCTGGCACCCATCAAATGTCATCCCTTATCTCCTCTTATCTCTGCACTGTCTTATCTCTGCACCCTTGCTGGCACCTATCAAATGTCATCCCTTGCCACCACATCCACTACAACATTTACAGCTCCCTGGAGCGATAAAATGCATATGCAGTGCGCTCATTACTTACCTTAAAATATTTGTAGTCTTAACAAAATTTCGGCCAACTTTTTTATTTTTCAACCAATTTTTTTCATTTTTGGTGTACATTTAGAGGTTCATATGTAGAAGAATGTGACAAAGTTTCAGTATGATTGGGCAACAAACAACATAGAAAAAAATATTTAATGACTTTTCATATATGGCAGCAAGGCATGACAAAATGGCACTACGAGTGGCACTTCCGACAATCCCAACAGTTAGAATACATCTGACACGAATTTTTGATGCACATGTTTCATCTAATATATCTTATTATCATGGAAAAAAAAAATACATTTGGTAGACTTTTTGGCATTCGCCTAAAAATCTGCCTTTTACCTCCCACAAAATCAAAAATATTTGATATATTCCAAAAAAAAGAAGCACCAACTAGTCAAACACACTTTGTTTTATATTGTCTGTGAAAATCATTTCAATACAATCATTAATAATGGTGTAGGTAAGCAAAATAAGTGAAAAAGTTACTTCCGAGATATAGGCCTGGAACGCCGGCCGGCCCGCAGTCTCAAAAAAAAATTTTTTTCGCGAAAATCGCGTTTGTTTCAGTGATTTTCTAAGTAAACTGATGTTCTAGTGCAGTTATCCTTTTCAAAATACCGTTTTCTATCGCTCACAGACCAAACAATACAACAAGGAAACGAGGAGTAACTCATATCGAAATATTGCTGGTGGACTCTCGCCATATTATGGCCTATTTTATTCAGTCTAGAGTATATAACATGTTTGTTTGTTATTTATAGTGTTTATTATATCATATTAGATCAATTCTGATAGATAAATAAGCCGTATAGTCGATATATAAGCTGATATAAGCGTAATAATGAAGTGATTTCACCTGGCACCATCTGGAGGGGGAATACTGCCGAGTGTTCTCAGATGGCTCCCGATTGGCTGGCACTCTACTGATAAGCTCCACCTACTCTTATATGATGCCAAATAATCAATTATTATATTAGAGAGAATAATGCAAAGAAAAAGCGATAAAAACAAGGAAAAAATTCCAAAAAATACATGGGTTGAGAACAGACGCCCCACCTACATCGTCGTTACCATACCTGATATAAATGACTATAATTTCTTGTAGAAATGTCTTAGAACATTGATTCTTGTACCATTGTGTTGCCAAAGAGTTAAGCTATTTTTCTATATGAATAACTCAATTTCCATAATTTTTCTATTTTTTCTTGAGAGTGCGCTGAAAATTTCTTTTTCCGTCCTTAACCCTTTGACTGTTTTGGTCGTATATATACGTCTTATGAGCCACCGTTTTTGATGTATATATACGTACTCCTAAATTCTAGCTTTACAGGTGGGGCACGGCGTATTTGAAAGACCGCTTGCTGTATAGCAAATTTTGATCATAACTTGAAATCGTTGTATTAACGGAACTGCATAAGGCGAAATGCTGTAAAGTGGGGCTCTACTGTACATGTTATTTCAAAGTTTTTTTTTTTTATTAACACGTTGGCCGTTTCCTGAGGCAGGGTGACACAAAAGAAAAAAACGCAAAAAGAATCATTCATCATCATTCAGCACTTTCACCATCACTTGTACATAATCACTGTCTTTGCAGAGGCGCTCAGATATGACAGTTTATATGTCCCTCCAAACTGCCAATATCCTAAACCCCTTCTTTAAAGTGCAGGCGCTGTACTTCCCATTTCCAGGATTCATGTCCGGCTAACCGGTTTCCCTGAATCCCTTCACAAAATATTACCCTGTTCATGCTCCAACAGCTTGTCAGGTCCCAGAAACCATTCGTCTTCATTCTCTCCTGTCTAACACGCTCGCGCACACTTGATGGAAATCCGAGCCCCTCACCTACAAATCCTCTTTTCCCCCTCCCTCCAACCTTTTTGGGAATGACCCCTACCCCACCGTCCTTCCCCAACAGATTTATACATTCTCCAAGTCATTCTCCTTTGTTGCATTCTCTCTAAACGACCAAACCACGTCAACAGTCCCTCTTCAGCCCTCTGGCTAATACTTTTAGTAACTCCACACCTCCTAATTTCCACACTACGAATTCTCTGCATAATATTTACGCCACACATTGCCCTTAGACACAACATCTCCATTGCCTCCAACCGCCGCCTCGCTGCAGCATTTACAACCCATGTTTCACACCCATACAATTGTTGGTACCACTATATTCTTGTACATTCCCTTCTTTGTCTCCACGGATAACATTCTTTGTCTCCACAGATACCTCAACATTTCACTCGACTTTTTTCCTTCATCATTTCTATGGTTTACTTCATCCTTCATAAACCCATCTGCTGGCAAGTCAACTCCCAAATATCTGGAAACATTCACTTCTTTTATACTCCCTCCCTCCAATGTGATATCCAAATTTTCTTTATCTAAATTGTTTGATACCTTCATCACTTTACTCTTATCTATATTCACTTTCAACTTTCTACCTTTACACACACTCCCAACTTGTCCACTAACTTTTGCATTTTTTCTTTAGAATCCCCCAAAAGCATAGTATCATCAGCAAACGGTAACTGTGTCAACTCCCATTTTGTATTTGATTCCCCTTAATTTAATCCCACCCCTCTCCCCAACACCCTAGCATTTACAGTGGACCCCCGGTTCATGATGCCATCGGTATCCGATAAATCCGGTGTTTGATACATTTTAACTCAAAAATTTTGCCTCGGTTCCCGTTAAAAAACCCGGTATATGCAATTCGTCTGAGACGTGTCCACATGTGGCCCGAACTGCCCCGTGTGTGCCAGTGTTTACAAGCCAGCCAGTGTGCTCGTATCTAAGGATATATTCGGTACATTCCATATTATCACAGTGTTTTTGGTGCTTGTTTCTGCAAAATAAGTCACCATGGGCCCCAAGAAAGCTTCTAGTGCCAACCCTTCGAGAAAAAGGGTGCTAATGACTATTGAAATGAAGAAAGAGATAATTGCAAAGTATGAAAGTGGAGTGCAAGTGTCGGAGCTGGCCAGGTTTCTACAGAACCCCAATCAACCATCTCTACTATAGTGACCAGGAAAATGGCAATCAAGGAAGCTGTTGTTGCAAAAGGTACAGCTGTGATTACGAAACAGCGACCGCAAGTGTTAGAAGATGCTGAGAGACTGTTATTGGTGTGGATAAATGAAAAACAGATAGCAGGAGATAGCATCTCTCAAGCGATCATTTGTGAAAAGGCTAGGCAGTTGCATGACGATTTGGTAAAGAAATTGCCTACAACTAGTGGTGATGTGAGTGAATTTAAGGCCAGCAAAGGTTGGTTTGAAAGATTTAAGAATCGTAGTGGCATACATAGTATGATTAAGCATGGTGAGGCTGCCAGTTTGGACCAAAAAGCAGCTGAAAAATATGTGAAAGAATTCAAGGAGTACATAGTGAAGACTTGAAACCTGAACAAGTGTTTAATTGTGATGAAACAGGCCTGTTTTGGAAGAAATTGCCAAGCAGGACCTACATTACTCAGGGTTAAAAGGCACTCCCAGGACATAAGCCTATGAAAGACAGGCTTACTCTTCTGATGTGTACCATGCTAGTGGTGATTGCAGAGTGAAGCCTTTATTGGTGTATCACTCAGAAACTCCCAGAGCGTTAAGGCAAAAGAATATCCTCAAGGCTAATTTGTGTGTGCTGTGGAGGGCAAACAGTAAGGCATGGGCCACTAGGGACTTTTTCTATGACTGGTTACACCATGCATTTGCCCCCAATGTGAAAAATTACCTAATTGAAAAGAAATTAGACCTTAGTGCCTCCTGGTATTAGACAATGCCCCTGGTCATCCTACAGACTTGGCAGAGTGACTTTCTGGGGACATGCGCTTCATTAAGGTCAAGTTTTTGCCTCTTAATACCACTCCTCTCCTGCAGCCCATGGACCAGCAGGTCATTTCCAACTTCAAGAAACTGTACACAAAAGCTATGTTTGAAAGGTGCTTTGAAGTGACCACAGACACACTATTGACTCTAAAAGAGTTTTGGAAGGATCACTTTACTATCCTCAGTTGTGTAAACCTTATAGGTAAGGCTTGGGAGGGAGTGACTAAGAGGACCTTGAACTCTGCTTGGAAAAAACTGTGGCCAGAATGTGTAGACAAAAGGGATTTTGAAGGGTTTGAGGCTAACCCTGGGAATCCTATGCCAGTTGAGGAATCCATTGCCATATGATAAAAAAACAAAATCTGGTGTTTGATGACTATCCACATCCATGAGGATGTCAAAATGTGACAGCCACAATTCACATCCACATCTGCATTTTACTGTAAGCAGATATCCACACCCGCAAAATAAGTGAGACATCCTCATACAAATCCACATCTGTGGATATCTAAATTTTCTCATCCAATACATCCCTTGTGTATACATAAATGTGTATATGCATGTGTAGTGTGACCTAAGTGTAATTAGAAGTAGCAAGACATTCCTGAAAAATTGCATGTACAGTGGACCCCCGGTTAACGATATTTTTTCACTCCAGAAGTATGTTCAGGTGCCAGTACTGACCGAATTTATTCCCATGAAGGAATATTGTGAAGTAGATTAGTCCATTTCAGACCCCCAAACATACACGTACAAACGCACTTACATAAATACACTTACATAATTGGTCGCATTCGGAGGTGATCGTTATGCGGGGGTCCACTGTATATGAGACAGAAAAAAGACCCTAGCAATCCTACCATCATGTAAAGCAAATACATGTACGTACAGAATTCCGTTTTACACTCACTTAAGAGTATGGTGGTACCTCCCTGCCTACTACCTACCATGTACAGTATATATATGTACTTTATATACATTTAGATTTTTTTTTTTTTTTCAGGAAGATTCTGCTGCTGGAATTTTACAATGGGTAACAGTCAAGAACTTTATGTGTCATGACCATTTGAACTTCACATTTTCTCCAAATATCAACTTTGTGCAAGTAAGTTTGATGATGAATCAGTCTCATTTGCTGTTAGGAGAAGAGATAGGGTGAATTGTAGGTTCTTATGTACTAGACTAGCTTATCTGTGGTGTCTTCTTTCCACACTTGTCTCAATACTTCACCCTCTTTCAGCTGGATGGAGAGCTTGAAAGAAAAATTAAAGGCATTTGGGTAGTGTACATAAATCATGGATCAATAGCACTTCTTGTTTCTGGCTTCAGTAGTTATTTACGTTACTAGGTTAGTTTGAAATCTGTATTTCACAGCTAATGGAATGGCCAAAAAGCCCAGTTCATAAAATGGTTAGAGCTAATTAGATTCAAGAATTAAAATTACTTAGGTAGTTTGGTTTGTTAACCATACCTTGGTTGATTAATTAGTGTCAGCGGATCGTGTATTTAATTTGTGGAAGCACAGGAGGGCACTGCTTATACAGCAGGTTAGGTTCAGGCTACTGCTGTAAAGCAGAAACCTCCATAAAGCGATTTTTTTTTTTTTTTTTTTGTTATAAATGGTAACATTTAAAAGGCATCTACAGAGACAAACCAGGACTAAGATTCATACAAGGAAAGTTGTGTATAAGGGAGGATTCAACCAGATGGTGACTGTAAAAGTTGGAAGTAGGGTAGACAGTTTTAGCAGAAGACCAGTCAATAGGATGACTGTGATCTCTGACATGACAGAAAAGAGCATTGTTGGTGTTGGCAAGCCTAACGCTATTTTTGTGCTCAATGAGTCTGTTAGAAAGAGATCAGCCAGTTTCTTCAAAGTACTGAAGAGGACAGGAAGAACAAAAAATAGAGTAGACACCAGGAGCATCTGTAGAGGGAGGAGAGGTATGAACTAGATTAGTGCAGTGTTAGTCTGGCAGAAAGTAAGTTTGATGTCTAAGGAACGGAGAGAGTTGTTGAGATTAGAAAGACCAGAAATATAGGGAAGGCAGAGGACAGGAGAGCTCCCAGGGTAGAGAGTTTGAGAGAGAAGAAATTCCATTTAGCATGTGAGAAGGCAGAGTGTATGAAATGGGAAGGGAGCCAAGACTGGAAAATGAATTATGAAGTGGAAATTTCTGATTCAAGAAACTGAGGATCACTGATGCGGAGAGCACGGAGAAAGAGGAAGATAACACTTTTCTTGACAGAGGAAGCATGATAAGAAAAGTAGTGAATGTACATGCCACTGTGCATAGGCTTGCGGTATATGGAAAAGGCGAAACCTGTATCTGAGTGGTGGACATGGACATAGAGGAAAGGAAGCAAGGAATTAGATTCCCATTCAGCTTTAAATTTAATGGAAGGGGGCAAGGTGTGCCTGCACCCCAGCACAGTGTGTAAGTTGTGTCAGTACAGTTTCGTGTAAGTATACATGTAATTATCAGCGTATGTATAATACAGTGGACCCTTGCCTAACGATATTAATCCATTCCTGAGAGCTCAACGTTAGGCGAAATTATTGTTAGCCGAATTAATTTTCCCCATAAGAAATAATGGAAATCAAATTAATCCATTCCTGACACCCCAAGGTATGAACCAAAAAAATTTTTTACCACATGAAATATTAATTTTAATACACACAAACTGAAGAAGGCATGCACAGTTCCATGACACTTACCTTTATTGAAGATCTGGTGATGATTGATGGGATGGGAGGAGGGGAGTTAATGTTTGGAAGGGGAATCCCCTTCCATTAGGACTTGAGGTGGCAAGTCCTTTTCCGGGGTTACTTCCCTTCTTTTAATGCCACTAGGACCAGCTTGAGAGTCACTGGACCTCTGTTGCACAACATATCTGTCCATAGAGGCCTGTACCTCCCATTCCTTTGACATTCCTAAAGTGTTTCACAACATTTTCAGTGTAATGGTCACCAGCACAGCTTGCAATAGCTGTGTGAGGGTGATTTTCATCAAAAAGGGTTTGCACTTTAAGCCACATTGCACACATTTCCTTAATCTGTGAAGTAGGCAACTTCTTCAATTTCTCTATCCCCTCCTCTGGAGCAGTTTCCTCAGGTCTGGCCTTTTGCTGTTGAAGAGGATCCAGCAGCTCATCAGTGGTTAGTTTGCCATTGTCCTCCTCCACCAACTCTTCCACATCCTCCCCACTAACCTCCAACCCCAAGGACTTCCCCAATGCCACAATGGATTCCTCAACTGGCATAGGATTCCCAGGGTTAGCCTCAAACCCTTCAAAATCCCTTTTGTCTACACATTCTGGCCACAGTTTCTTCCAAGCAGAGTTCAAGGTCCTCTTGGTCACTTCCTTCCAAGCCTTACCTATAATGTTTACACAATTGAGGATGCTAAAGTGATCTCTCCAAAACTCTCTTAGAGTCAATTGAGTTTCTGAGGTCACTACAAAGCACCTTTCAAACATAGCTTTTGTGTACAGTTTCTTGAAGTTGGAAATGACCTGCTGGTCTATGGGCTACAGGAGAGGAGTGGTATTAGGAAGCAAAAACTTGACCTTAATGAAGCTAATTTCCGCAGAAAGTCACTCTGCCACGTCTGAAGGATGACCAGGAGCATTGTCTAATACCAGGAGGCACTTAAGGTCTAATTTCTTTTCAATTAGTTAATTTTTCACAGTGGGGGCAAATGCGTGGTGTAACCAGTCATAGAAAAATCCCTAGTGACCTATGCCTTACTGTTTGCCCTCCACAGCACACACAAATTAGCCTTGAGGACATTGTTTTTCCTGAACACTCTGGGAGTTTCAGAGTGATACACCAATAAAGGCTTCACTTTGCAATCACCACTAGCATTAGCACACATCAACAGAGTAAGCCTGTCTTTCATAGGCTTATGTCCTGGAAGTGCCTTTTCCTCCTGAGTAATGTAGGTCCTGCTTTGCATTTTCTTACAAAACAGGTCTGTTTCGTCACAATTAAACACTCGTTCAGGTTTCAGTCCTTTACTGTCTATGTACTCCTTGAATTCTTGCACATATTTTTCAGCCGCTTTGTGGTCCGAACTGGCAGCCTCACCATGCCTTATCACACTATATATGCCACTACGATTCTTAAATCTCTCAAACCAACCTTTGCTGGCCTTAAATTCACTCACATCATCACTAGTTGCAGGCATTTTTCTAATTAAATCGTCGTGCAACTTCCTAGCCTTTTCACATATGATCGCTTGAGAGATGCTGTCTCCTGCTATCTGTTTTTCATTTATCCACACCAATAACAGTCTCTCAACATCTTCTATCACTTGCGATCTCTGTTTCAAAAACAAAGTTGCACCTTTGGCAAGAACAGCTTCCTTGATTGCCGTTTTCTTGGCCACAATAGTAGCGATGGTTGATTGGGGTTTTGTGTACAACCTGGCCAGCTCAGACACACGCACTCCACTTTCATACTTAGCAATGATCTCTTTCTTCGTATCCATAGTAATTCTCACCCTTTTGCTGTAGGGTTGGCACTAGAAGCTTTCTTGGGGCCCATGGTCACTTATTTTGCAGGTGCAATCGCTAAAAAGACTGTGATAATATGAAATGTTCCGATTGTATGCTTGGAAGCGACCGCAGTGGCTCGCTTGTGAACACTTGCACCCACGGAACAAGCGAGGCGGGCTCAGGCCGCACGTGGACACGTCTCGAACGAATCGCGTTGAGCGAGTTTTTTAGAGCTAGCCGAGGGAAAATTTTTGCGTTAAAGTGTATCGCTAGGCGGATTTAACGTTATGTGATGCGTTCGTTAGGCGTGGGTCCACTGTATGTGAAATAACTTTAAAACACTTGAAATTTTGGAAAGTTTCCAAACATAGTGGAGAGTCGTGCTCACTGAATGTGTAAACAAACCAGGTGGGGCACGGTGGCCGTATTTGAAAAATGGGGAGCTGTACAGTGAGTTTTGGTTATAATTTGAAATGTCCGTATTAGCGAGATGCTGTAAAGTGGGGCCCTACTGTTCCTTGTTCACTGAGTTTAATAATTTCTAACTTGGCATTTAAAGTAAGAGGTTTATGACTCAAGTGTTTACATTGAAGCTTATGTGTGAACAGTATTTACATAAAGGTAGGGAAGTTTTTATTGCATTTATGGATTTAGAAAAGGCATATGATAGTGGATAGAGGAGCAATGTGGCAGATGTTGCAAGTATATGGAATAGGTGGTAAGTTACTAAATGCTGTAAAGAGTTTTTATGAGGATAGTGAGGCTCAGGTTAGGGTGTGTAGAAGAGAGGGAGACTACTTCCCAGTAAAAGTAGGTCTTAGACAGGGATGTGTAATGTCACCATGGTTGTTTGTTTAATATATTTATAGATGTGGTTGTAGAAGAAGTAAATGCTAGGGTGTTCGGGAGAGGGGTGGGATTAAATTATGGGGAATCAAATTCAAAATGGGAATTAACACAGTTACTTTTTGCTGATGATACTGTGCTTGTGGAGATTTTAAAGAAAAATTGCAAAGGTTAGTGGATGAGTTTGGGAATGTGTGTAAAGGTAGAAAGTTGAAAGTGAACATAGAAAAGAGTAAAGTGATGAGGGTATCAAATGATTTAGATAAAGAAAAATTGGATATCAAATTGGAGAGGAGGAGTATGGAAGAAGTGAATGTTTTCAGATACTTGGGAGTTGACGTGTCGGCGGATGGATTTATGAAGGATGAGGTTAATCATAGAATTGATGAGGGAAAAAAGGTGAGTGGTGCATTGAGGTATATGTGGAGTCAAAAAACGTTATCTATGGAGGCAAAGAAGGGAATGTATGAAAGTACTGTATAGTAGTACCAACACTCTTATATGGGTGTGAAGCTTGGGTGTTAAATGTAGCAGCGAGGAGACGGTTGGAGGCAGTGGAGATGTCCTGTCTAAGGGCAATGTGTGGTGTAAATATTATGCAGAAAATTCGGAGTGTGGAAATTAGGAAAAGGTGTGGAGTTAATAAAAGTATTAGTCAGAGGGCAGAAGAGGGGTTGTTGAGGTGGTTTGGTCATTTAGAGAGAATGGATCAAAGTAGAATGACATGGAAAGCATATAAATCTATAGGGGAAGCAAGGC